CTTTGTCTTAATCTCGAGAAGAGATACTGATTTCGCTTGGTCGATTTCAGCGCTTCAAGCAAATACCTCCTTGGTGAGGTAGAAGCTCTGCCGAATTTTCCATCAACCGGATTCGATCTGCGGCGGTCCACAGATATCAAAATCCCCGGCACAGGCAAAGATCTCACGCAAGCAGAAAACCGATAAACGATCTTTGTATTTGTTTGACGAGAATTGTATTTTTTTGTTTTCATTGTGTAAAAGTCTTATAAAAAGACCATCTTTTTGTTTTCATTGTAACGACCGAAGTTGTAATGAATACCGTAATGAATACAACAATTTTCGACGGAAACATACTCATTGGAGAATTCAAAAGGAAATAAAATAGAAATCTTCATTAATTATAAGTATCGAATACTTTTTAAATTATTGCAGGCTGGTCATAAAATAAAATAATTATTGCCTATATAAGGTAAAAGAAAGTGGAGGACAAAAAAAAAAAAACATGAAAATGAAGATGATTACACCCTAACCTATAGGGTCTTGTTATTTTTATGTGGGCTTGCAAGATTCTGAGCTTCATCTTGAGGTTCATAGTCTGATCCCATCTCGCTCGTTATAAGGTAAAGATCAATTCCTCCATTATTTCCCCCCTTTTATGAATTTCTTAATTTATGTAAACTCCACAAATTCAGTGTTACCTTTTTTTTCTTTTCTTTTTCGTCCTTTATTTCCTAGTTGTGAAGACAAGAGGTTAACAATTTCTGAGCTTTTGTGTATTTCACCCAACTCCTACTCTTTTATACTCACTATTGATTGAATATACCAAATAAATAAATAAATAAATGTAATGATGTAATTGTTCTGAAGTATTCTTAGGGGCAGTTTGGTTCGCTATTATAAGGGGTGGAAAACTCAGAAAACCCCTCCACGTCAGATTTTTAACCCTCCACGTCAGCTTTTTTGTTTCCGTCCATTTCTTTGTGCCGCTTTGGTTCGCTCGAATGGAAGATGGAAAACTCTGCTGAAATCGCCGCCAACTAAGATTTTTTTCCTTCTCCGATTTCCTTCCCCAACCAAGTGAAATTAATGAAAACTCTGCCACGTCAAATTTTTTTTCCTTCTCTGCTTTGTTTACAAAAGTTTTCCTTTTTTTTCTATGCGAACCAAACACAAGAAAATTAAATACATTGGTTTCCCATCATTTTTTATGTGCGAACCAAAGCAAAACAATCTATTTCTTGGAAAAGTTTGGAAAACTCAAAACTCGTGTTTCTTTACATAGAATTGCATTTCTCTATATCAAGGAAACGAAACAAACAAGCCTTTAACCTCTTTTACCTAGGCCAATATTCTCAATATTTGCAAGGGATAATTAATATTCATCAGTTAACATATTTTTTGGTGAACGCAAAAAGCTAAATTATTGATCGTAAATCTTGAACTATAAAATTATGGAAATAATTATAAAATCATGTTAAAAACACGTGGGGCAACAACGGTAGTATTCACATAAATAGGATATATTAACACCTCATTTCTTGGTTTCTTGGTGTGAGGAGAAGAAGTGAAAACTTCACTCTGTTTATAGAGGCAACCTCCTAGGCAAATAACCAAAAAACCCTCATATTCTAGCTGTTTTTTACCGTTTTTAGGGACAAACGGTCAAAATCCCATTTTTGGCCGTTATGCCCGGCCCGGCCAAAAATAGGATTTCGACCGGAGCAGCCTGGCCCGGCCAAAAATAGGATTTTGACCGGACCAGCCCGGCCCGGTCAATTCTGCCCAACG